GGAGCGCACTCGTCGAGGAACGCGGGCGACATCGGCGGGAGGTCGTCGTCGCCGGTGGTGCACCCGATGAGCGTCAGCGACGCGACGCGGCCGGGATGGTCGAGGGCGGCGACGAGGGCGACCGCACCGCCCGTCGACCGCCCCACGACGTGGGCGACGTCGATCCTCAGCGCGTCGAGCAGGCCGACCGCGTCGTCGGCGAGGTCGCGCAGGCCGTAGGGCGGCTCGCCGACGGGGAACGAGGTCGACCGGCCGGTGTCACGGCTGTCGTACCGGACGACGTGGCGGCCGCGGGCGGCGAGCTGCTCGCACAGCGCCCGGGGCCACCACAGCATCGAGGCGCACGACCCGTGCACCAGCAGCACCGTCGGGTCCGCGGGCGACCCGAACGTCTCGATGCAGAGCTCGACGTCGCCCACCCGCACCATCCGCTCGCTCATGCCGGTCCCTCCCGCAGGACGCCGCGCACCTCGTCGACGGTGACGGTGTCGGGGTCGAACTCGGCGAGCCACCAGGTCGCCCCGGCGCGCACGAAGCCCTCCAGGTCGCTGCCGGCGGGTCGGGCGACGGCCACGTCGTACGGGGCCGGGTCCCGGCGCAGCGCCGCGACGCCGGCGAGCGCCTCGGCGAGCTCGTCGGGATGCTCGAGGTTCACGGGGAAGAAGCCGTCGCACGCGGCGGCCCGCCGGAGCGGGCGACGGCGACCCGGGAAGCCGGCGGCCCAGACCGGCACCGGGCGCGCGGGTCGCGGGAGGAACGTCATGTCGTCGACGACGTGGTGGCGCCCGTGGTGGTGCACGGCCCGGCCCGTCCACGCCGCGCGGAGCACCGCCAGCGACTCGTCGAGCACCGCGGCGCGGACCCGGTCCTCGACCACCTCGCCGGTGGCGGAGAACTCGCGTCCGAACCGGTCGCTGCCCAGCCCGACGCCGAGGACGAGCCGACCGCCGCTGAGCCGGTCGAGGGTCACCGTCTCGCGGGCGACCTTGGTGGGTCGCCTCCTGGCGAGCGGCGTGACCATCGGGCCGAGCTGAACGACGCTCGTCGCGACCGCTGCCGCCGCGAGCGTCACCCACGGGTCGGCCACGGCCCGCACCGGCGGACCCCACTGCACGTGGTCCCACACGAACAGCCCGTGCCAGCCCGCCTCCTCGGCCTCGGCCGCGAGGCGGGACACGACGACCGGGTCGGCGAGCTCGGAGAACAGCGGGAGCCACAGCGCGGAGCGGACCAGCGGGTTCGGGGACACCCCCGCGACGCTAGGAACTCGTCGTGGACCCCGGAAGCACCGGTTACGGTCCTCCTGGTGGGCACCACTTCCCCGGATCTGCTCCTGACGGTCGATCGTGGTCGTGGCCTGCGGTCCCAGATCGAGGACGGCATCCGCAGCGCCGTCCGCGGTGGGACCCTCGCGCCCGGCTCGCCGCTGCCCTCGACCCGCGGGCTCGCCGCCGACCTCGGTGTCACGCGCCGCGTGGTCGTCGAGGCCTACGAGCAGCTCGCCGCCGAGGGATACGTCGTGGGGCGACGGGGCGCGGGCACGATCGTCGACCCCTCGCTGCGGGTCGCCGGTCCGCCGCCGGCCCCGGCGCGTGCACCCGCCGACGAGCCCGCGCTGCGCGTCGACTTCCGCCCGGGATGCCCGGACCCTGCGCTGTTCCCCCGTGCGGCGTGGGCGCGGGCGACGCGCTCGGCGCTCGCCGGGGCCGGGCCCGCGGAGCTCTCCGACGCCGACGACCGCGGCCTGCCCGCGCTGCGCGTCGAGCTGGCCCGCTACGTCGCCCGGGTCCGCGGGGTGATCGCGCACCCCGATCGGATCGTGGTGTGCGCCGGGTTCGGGCAGGCGTTCGACCTGCTCGTGCGGGTCCTCCCCTCCCCACGGTCGGCCTCGAGGACCCCGGCTACCGCACACCACGGCTGCGCCTCGAGCGCGCCGGTGTGCCCTACGAGCCGGTCCCCGTCGACGGCGACGGGCTCGTGGTCGAGGCGCTGCGGGCCGGCCGCGCGACGGCGGTGGTGGTGACGCCCGCGCACCAGAACCCGACCGGCGTCACCCTGTCGCCGGCCCGGCGCTCGGAGCTGGTCGCCTGGGCCCACGACACCGGCGCCCACGTCGTCGAGGACGACTTCGACGCCGAGTTCCGGTACGACGGGCGGCCCGTCGGGGCGCTCCAAGGGCTCGCCCCCGATCGCGTGGCCTACTGCGGGACGACGGCCAAGACCCTCGCCTCGGGGCTGCGCCTGGGCTGGGCGGTGCTGCCGCCCGATCTCGTCGACGAGGTGCGGGCGCTGCGCGCGGTCACCGACCGAGCGACGTCCACGCTGCTCCAGTCGACCTTCGCCCACCTGCTGCGGGCCGGCGACCTCGACCGTCACCTGCGGCGGGCACGGCGCACCTACCGAGCCCGCCGCGACGCCGTGGTCGCTGCCGTCGCCGAGCACCTCCCCGAGGCGCGGGTGAGCGGCATCGCCGCGGGGCTCAACGTGGTCCTCGACCTGCCCGCCGGCTGCGACGAGGCGGCCGTGGTCGCGGCGGCGCGCGAGCGCGGCGTCGGCGTGTACCCGCTCGCCCCGTTCCGGGTGCGGGCGGCGGGCCGGCCGGGACTCGTGCTCGGCTACGGCGCCGTCACGTCCGCGCAGGCCGTGGCCGGGATCGCGCGGCTGGCCCCGGCGGTCGCCGGTCACCGTCGCCCGGGCCCTCGCCGTGCAGCCCGGGGGCCCGGCGCCGGAAGCGCCGCACGGTCCACGCGATGAGCCCGAGGTAGACCGGCACGCTCACCACGTGCGACAGCACGACCGCCACCGGCAGGGGCGGCAGCAGCGACGCGAGCACCACCACCGACGCCGACCCGACCAGGCCGACGGCCCAGATCGCGGTGACCCGGACGTGGTCGCGGCGGAACGCCGCGTCGGCCTCCCAGAGCCGATCGAAGGCCGCCGGGTCGACGGCGACGTCGCGGTGGATGCGAGCGAGCATCGGCGTGTCGGCGAGCAGCGACCCCGCGGCGATCGTCGCGCTGACCAGCGTGCCGAGCGCCTCCTTCGCGAGCACGAGCCGCGCGTCGCCGGTGCTGCCGGCGATCACCACGCCGAGCAGGAACTGCACCCCGACCAGCACGCCCAGCATCGGTACCCTCCCGTCGCGCACGGCCCGGACGGCGACGACGAGCGCCGAGAAGCCGGCCGACCCGAGCAGTGCCGCGATCGTGCCGACCCCGCACAGCGTCAGCAGGCCGTAGACGAGCAACGGGGCCACGACGTTCTCGATGACGGCGGCGAGCGCGCTGCGCAGGGTCACGACGTCGGCTCCTCGAGGCGTGCGCGCACCCGCTGCAGGAGCTCGACCAGCGTCGTCACCTCGTCGGGATCGAGGCCGAGGGCCGCGCCGGCGTTCACGGCGTTGACGCCCGGGACGGCCGCGGCGAGCGCGTCGCGGCCCGCCGCCGTGATCCGCAGGCGTGCCCGGCGCCCGCGTCCCCCGGCGCCCTCCCGGGTCACGAGGCCGCGCTCGAGCAGGCCCGTCACGAGCTCGCCCATGCTCTGCGGTCGGACGAGCACCTGGCGCGCGAGGTCGGCCTGGCTCGGCCCGGGGTCGGGGTCGGCGTCGGTCTCGGCCAGCGAGACCAGCACCCCGAACTGCGTCGGCCCGAGACCCGCCGCGGCGAAGACCTCGCCGAATCGGCGGGCCGCGGGGTGGTAGGTCCGGACGAGCTCCCAGAGCGGGAGCTCCGCCGCGAGGACGGGCCCGTCGTCAGCGTCCACGGCCGGCCCCACGCAGGCGTGCCGCGGTCGCCGCCGCCGGCAGGGCGACCCGGAGCCCGCGACTC